AAGGGGCGTCCCAAGTGGCCGCGATCGCAGAGCGACACGCCAGCGGGTGCTGGTGTCCGGGGTGAATGTGAGATGCGGCCTCCGCCGTCTCCCGCGCATTGTTCCCACAGTGGGTCCGTCCCGAGTGACGGCCCCTTCCAGGTCGGAGGATGCTCCTGCGACCAGGTGACGTACCTTGAAGGCGGTAAGGTCTCGGAGAACCTTCCTGAGAACACGGATCCCACCCTGGAGGGAACAGGGGCCGAGGGGACTCGGCCACGGGGGCAGTGGGGTTGCTGGGCTGAACCAGGGAGACGGCTGGAGGCCGGGCCTTCGCTCCCCAGCCTGCCACCGCCTCCCCCTACACACACACACACACACACCCGCGCTCCTCGCCGGCCGGCCGCACGGCAGGACCCCTCCTGCCGCAGGGAGGCTGCGCCCAGCGAGCCCTGGGGATGGCACAAAGGACCAATGACACTAAAAACCACGCTCTCCAGGAACACAGGCCGCGGGAGACGCAGGAAACAGCGTCCGAGGCGGGGTTGGAACCAGGGGGCGCAATTGGAGTGCTTCTGAAAGCAGCAACGCTTGCTTTGCCCTCTCCCGGAGTTTTGAATCAATTAATAGCACTCAGGGCTGCAAGACATTAATGGTTCGAATTCCCGACACTGAGGCACCCCGGAGGAACGGCGTGACCCCAAATCGAGCAGCAGCAGCAGCAGACGGGCGCTCCCCAACCCCAGCGCGCCGGAACCCTGCGTCCTCCCCACCATCCTCACTCAGCCCCCCGCCGCCCCCCACCCCAGAAAGGTCCGGGTGCCGAGGGGCTGTACATCCCAGGCGCCCCCCTCCCGACGCCCGCATTAAACTGTTTGCAGCAGACGAAGCTGGGACGTGAGGGCTCAAAAACGAAGGGGACTCGTGAACGGGTTGAAGAGTGCGGCATGGGGGTGGTGGGCTCCACCGGCCTCCTCCTCCCACACAGCTGGAGCCGACTGCTCAGGGAGGCGGTCCCCCCCTCACCCCGCAGTCAGATGGTGCTCACGTGGCCGGGAAGTGGCTGCCAGGCAACCGGGACGTGTGCGATGAGGAGCGGGAGGAGGGGCGCAGGGCAGAGACGTGACGTCTCCCCTTCTTCCCCAGCAGAAGGAAACAGGTTTCTCTTCTCGGTGCCAGAGGAATCCCTTCAAAGCGCCGAGCTGACGAGAAGGAAGACAAACCTCTCCTTCGGAGACACGCGGCAGGGAAAGGAGTGTGGGACGGAGGGCGGGAAGATGAGTTTCCAGAACCTTCCGAATTAGCTCCCGAGGTGCAGTCCAGGCAAACGCGATGGCTTCTTAGGGTTCCGTCTGGATGGCCAGTCTGGGGACGGCCGGGTCACTCCTGCGGGCCGCGCTTGACCCTCTGGGCGGCGGCCGGGGTGGAAACGAGGAGGTGGAGATGAGCCAGGGTGAGCCAGGCCCCTGGAAATTGCCTTCGGGGGCCTCTCAGGTCCTCGGACACAGAGGGGCGGGGAGAGAAGCCCCTCCTTCCTGAGGCGGCGTCCGAGCGGCGCTCAGAGTTCTGCGCCGGGTCGCCAGACACCGGGTCGTGCAAGGGACCGCCGACTGCGCGTCACCTCGGGGTGGCATCGCCGGATGTGGCGAGAAGAGACCCTTCACGACCCTCTCAGCATCCCTAATGCCCGTCACAGGGCTGCAGGGTTGCTGATCGGTCACCACAGGAGGCCGACCGAGTCCTAGTCTCGGGGAATGACCATGGTCAGGCGGCCTTCGAACGGAATGTCCGCTGCAGCTTCGTGCCCCGGGGAGAGAGGGCCGTTCCTGGAAATGACCTTATCGGGGGGGCTCGGGCCGTGCAGATGGCAGAGGACCTATAACCCCCCTGAGAAGTCCTGGCTCGCTCTGGCCGCCGCAGCTGGGCAGCAGGCCGCAGGGCTGGGCGGCCACAGAGGGTGTCCGCGGGTTTCACGGCCCGGAGACACCTTTGGAGAACTGTCCACGGGCCCCCTGGCGAATCCCCCAGGGGGCAGGTTCCGGTGACGGGCCACGCCGGCCTCTGCTGGGAGCTGACCTGCTGGACAGAGGCCGCCGTGTGTCGGGGAGGAGAGATCGGGGCTCCCGGGGCCGCTGGGGGCCTGGTACAGAGGCCGCTATCGTGGCCGCGTTGGCGGACATGCCCTGTGGTGGCGTACTGAGTAGTTTTCCCTTAAAACACTCACATTAAAAGTGAAGGCCGTGGCCAGCTCGCTCAGTTGGGTAGAGCATGGTCCCAAGACACCAAGGTTACAGGCTCGATCCCCGGTCAGGACACGTGCGAGAAGCAACCAGTGGATACATAAGTAAGTGGAACAACACATTGATCCCTCTCTCTTTCTCAAAATTAATACATGGAAAAATTAAACGTTAAAATTAATTAAACGACGATGAAACCCGCTCTCTGAAAGGGGGGACCTGCTTCTCCCAGTGCGCCCCCGCCGCAGTCCCGGCAGCTGCCCCTCCCTGCACGCCCGACGCCGGGAGGCAGCACCACTGCCCCCTTCCCCCCTCCCCCGCCCCTTCTCCCTCTGTCCCCTGGACCGTGGCCCGCAGCAGGGGGGCTCGGACGGCAGCTGCCCGGATGGCAGCTGCCCGCACGGCGCTCAGCGGCGTCGGCCCAGAGCCTCGGGGCCTCTGTGCTCCGGAAGCGCGGTCGTTCCAAAACACGTGTTTCCTCTCCGAACAGAGTCACGGCGCGGCGAGAATCGACGCAGCCCCGAGGGTAAGCTGCGTGGCCGCTGTTTCACGCGGCACAGTGTCCTGTCCCTGCTGGACAGGAGTCGGAGCTCACGGAGAACACGGCCTTGCTACATTGTAGCACCAGCCCTCCCGGAAGCGCTGTTGGGTGCCAGACACACGCGGGGGCACCTTGCACCCGGACGCTGGCCCCTGTGTCCTCCCGCCCCCGGGGCGGTGGCTGCTGCGACAGTCCCGTCTGACGTGGCGACGGGGACACGGGGGCCCAGGGGGGTCAGGTGAGCTGCCTGCGGTCCCCGGCCAGAGTGCGGAACCAGAGCCGCTGGGGGCGGGCCGTGTGGCCCCCGTGTGCTTGTCCGTGTGACGAAAGCTACAGAGAAACAGCGATTCCCTCCAACGCGCCGGGTCCGCGTGCCCGGCTGAAGCACCATAGGCGCGGCAGCGGGGCGGCTGGTTCGTCCACACGCACCCCGCAGGGGCGGAGCCGGCGCGTCCGCAGAGGGAGCCCCAGGCGAGTGCGGACGGGAGGTCGCTGGGCCTCCGGAGTTCCCCGACCTGCTGGCTGTGCTCCTGGTCCCCAGTTCCCCGGCCGTCCTTCCCCATCCAGGGCCGGTCTCTTCATTTAGGGGCGGGATGACGTGGACCCAGGAGTGCGGAGCGGGGGGACAGAGTGGGGACAGAAAGACTCTCCGGACCAGCGCGTCCCCCACCGAGGCAGGAGGAAGAAACCCCGGCCCTCTCATCCAAACGGTCGCAGGTTCGATCCCCGGACCGGACGGGGCCCATACGAGAACCCACTGGTGAGCACAGCGGTGAGTGGGACGGCAGATCGTGGGGCTGTAAAGCGAAGACACTCCGAGAAAGCTGCCGACACATGACTGGGAGCTGACCCCCGGCACACAGCTCTGGGGGGCCGGGGGGCAGGCTGACCGCCGGGACCGACGGTGCCCACAGGAGGGGCGACCTGACCTCTTCTAAAGGAGGTGGGGTTTCATAAGGCCGTCAAACGTGATGTTGTAAACAACCCCCCAGCACACGCCGTGCAAGGGGGGTCGGCTGCAGGCAGGCCGCTCAACCGTGAAAACTCGGACGCCGCCACCGACAACCGGCCGTTCGGGGAGAACGCCTGGGATCCGCGGGAACGAGACGAGACACGCCCGGAGGAACCCACGGCCCTCCCCCAGCCCCCCACCCTTCCAGGAACAGCGAAGCCTTCAGAGGACCGTGCTCACGGCCACGCTGCAGGGCGCCCCCCGAAACCGCGGCCCGCCACCCCCAGCCGCCGGGCTCTGCCGCCGAGCTCTGCCGCCAAGATCTGCCCGAGCAGCCCCTCCTCCCATGATTGATTTTTATTCTAACAAGCACCGAGCGCAGCTGCGATCCTAACCTAAGTCCCTCTTAACGATACCAGGAAAAAAACCCCCAAAACACTGACTTTGATCGTCTTTATCTTTGGAACAAATCTCAATCAAATGCTCTCTTCCGTGATGATGAGATTCTGGTCCCCACTTTGACAGGATCTGCTCCATGCGGCCCCCCCGCCCCCCACCCCCCGTATTGATGACTCTCACACAGGAGGCCTTCCGCCCCGAACGGAACGTGAGGCTCAGCCGTGGTGGGGACGGCAGGGCCGCGCCGCGGAAACGCCACGCAGTCCGCTGAGCCAGCGGCGCCGGTGGCAGGCGCGTTCCTCCGTTGTCGATGAGTTTTCGTTTCTTTTTCTCTCTGTACGAGATGGGATACCCCTGCCGGACAATTGTCTGTCGGGCAGGCTCCTTAGATCGCTGCCAAACTACCCTCCCGAACCTGGGTCTTCCCCGCCCTGACCCGCGATATCTAACCTCACCACCAACGCGGCAGGAGGGCCTGCTCCCTGGCGGCTGTGCCGCAGACCCGCCCAGCGCGAGACCCCACACAGCGTGCACGTCAGCTCGGAGCCCCCGCCCCCCACGGGCTTTCCCTCCCGCCCTCGGGGTCCACGCATCTTCCAGACACTTCAGAGCTGGAGAAAACCCACACCCCTCTGCAGTCCGAGGGTAATTCAAGCTCAAAAGAGAGCGGTTAGTTTCGTCTCGCCTCTCTTGGGCCCGGTGTCTGCCCTCTCCCCCCACGCCCAGCACGCAGGTAAGCCTGTGGGCAGGTGAGTGAGTGGCTTCCTCCTGAAGGAGACAGGTCCCTGCAGGTTGGGAACATGGACCGCTCTGGAACATACACCCCAAGCACCCAGTCCCATCACCCCGCACGGGGCAGCCAGGCCTCCCGTGGGCCGCTCTGGGCACCTACCTCAAGATGAAGAGGTCCACGGTGGCGTTGCTGGCGACGGTGACGTAGGCTGTAACCACGTCCCCTGGTCTGACCGGATGGGAGGGCAGCCAGATGGCCACGTTGCCGTCCAGACGCAGCTCGCTGAGCTGGTGGTCACTGCTGTCCGGGTCCTGGCAGAGGCCCACGGCGCCAACCCTCTGCAGGTGGGACAGGCTGTCTTCTAGGCCGCCCTTCCCGGGGCGGATGGCGTTGCCCTTCTCGGCGTCCCCGCCAGTGCAGTCCCCGAGCTCCTCGCCCGCGTGCACGGCGTAGTACAGCTCCACTGTGCCGCCCTCGGCCGCGGGCCCCGGCTTCCTCCGGCCGGCCACCACCGCGGGGGCGCCGAACCAGCTGGCCGGCAGCCGCAGCTCAGCCACGCACAGCCCCAGCTCGCCGCGCGGCCGGCAGCCGCCCCGCACGGCCCGCGTCTCCCAGAAGGCGAACACCCTCAGGCAGGGCAGCTGCTCCGCGGGGCTGCCCTCGGCCCCGTCGCGGCCCAGGACGTGGAACAGGACCTGCACGGTGGGCCGGGCCGGGGAGATCCTGTCCTGCAGCACGTGGGCCTTCAGCGTCCAGCCGAAACCCAGCTGGTCGGTGGGGCCCAGCGAGTTCGAGGCCCCCGTCCACTCCAGAGGCACGGCCGTCTCCACGGAGAAGGGCCCATAGCTGGCGCTCAGCAGCGGCGGCCCCCGGGCGCGGTGGGTGAAGAAGGACTCCGCCCGGGCGCGCAGGCTGCAGTTGCGCGAGGGGTCCCGGCGGGCCTCCCGCAGGAAGAAGGCGGTCTCGGCCCCGAGGACGCGGTAGCTCACGGGCAGGTAGGGGGGCAGCGAGGAGAACTGCTGGCCGCCGTCGGGGGTCCCGCGGCCCTCGGTCACTGCAGGGGGCAGAGAAAGACAGAGAGAGAGGGGAGGTGACCGCTGGGCTCCTTACAAGTCTGAGGTCCGCCAGCAGGCAGGCTAGAAAGGAGGACACGCTTTCTGGTGTCCATGCGCCTATAGCTCTCGAGATCCTTCAGGAGTCAGCCGCGAAGGGGCTCTACATGCCCCCCCAATCTCGCACGTCGTGTGTTAGGGGGACACCTGGGGAACTGAGATTTCTGCCGGCTAAGAATCCTTGCACGTTGGTGATTTCGCGCGGTTTGCCCGAAGAGAACCGGGCAAGGTTCCCATGGGCGTGCGGTGAAGGTGTTCGTTCACTCATTGAGGCCGAACACCTTTCTGACGGCGCAGGGTCGGCAAGCAGGCCGAGGGGCCGGAACGGTCCCTCACTAAAGCCACATGCCCCTGGGAACTTCGTGAGCGCGTAAACGGCGCTGGGACCACGGGCCGTTGGTGGGGGAGACCGCCCACGAACTTGGACCCACACGGCACACCACCCACGACAACGCCCTTCAGACGGGTCCGCGGGCTGCCGGTGGGCGAGCAGGCAAGCTCTCCGTGCCGAAAGACGGACGGGACGGCTCCTTCCCAGCCCAGGCACGGGAAAAGCTTCTACGTGTGACTCCACCGCCAAATGCGATTTAAAAACGACAAGTTTGCCCGTAAGAATTTTTTAAAACGTCTTTTGCAGAGCTGAAAGATACACAAGGTAGCATCAAGCTGAAAGAGAAACAGCCCATTAGGAGACGGCGCAAACTGCTGACGTGCGGGTCCATGGCCGCCCACCGGATGTCGGGGGGGGGGGCCAGGAGTGGGAACCATGTTTGACCCCAGGGGTGCCTGGGGGTCCAGCTTCCCCTTACACACGGAGGGACTGGCGGTGCCAAGGCCCCACGCCCCTGGAGCAGGAGCAGGAGGAGCCCCCGAGCAGCCCACCTCGCTCAGCGACCGGCGTGACCTTCCGGGGCCATTGAGCTTGACGCCCCCCCGCGGGAACTTTTGGGCTGGGAAGTTGATGGACGCTGGGGGCGGAGGTCAGGGTCAAGGCAGGAAAGACCCTGAGTCACCTTCCTCTGCCCCTGTCCTCCACAGACACCGACAGCAGTGCAGCCAGGGGGTCCTTGCCGTTGGCACGGTGTCCCCCTTAAGAGCTCCCGTGAGCTGGTGTGTCCCCCGTTGGGGGTTCCACCAAGGAAGGACCCCCTGCACCCCGAGGGCACAGGGCCGGCATGTCCCCGTGCTGAGTCTGCAGAGCCCAAGAAAGCCAGCCCGTCACCTTGCCCTTGCCTTGCGAGACCGGAAACCCACACTGGCCCCAGCGGGTCACGGACCACAAGGACGCACTCCCCACCCTGCCCGCGGCCCACGAGGCCCAGCGGCAGGCGGGCAGCCCCGTGTGCCTCTCCCCTGGGTGGTCCCCAGATCCTGCCCCAGGGACGCCGGCTGCAGGATCAAAGCTGCTGCCAAAGGGACTCGGGCGGGCACAGCGGCTTTTCCACGACGTGACACCCCCCACCGTCTTTGCCCGGAGACCCTGCTCTGAGGTCCCACCAAGGCACCGTGTCCCAAAAAGGGCCCGGCCGCAAAGCCCTGAAACAGTCACTCACGATTTAAGCAACTTGTAATGTTTTGTAAAAACCAACGGACTGATTGCCACACGAGATGCTTTTCTTCTGACATCTCCGTCCCTCTCCCCGAAAGCTCTTAAATCTTGGCGTGCGGAGGCTCGGAGCCTCATTCCTTGGTGAGAGCAGTGGGCGAGGGCTCTCTGGAGGAACAGAGAGAGGTTGCTAGGGCCCCTCTGTGTGGGGAACGCTCCAGAACGGGGGGCGTTTCTCAACGCGCTTTCTTATCACACTCTGCCTGCACACAGTAGGCCTCCTTCCTCCTGCTTTCTTGCCTTTTTCCAAGAGGGAAAAAATGCCTACGAGACCATCGCTTGCTTTGAAGCAGAAGTGGAGTTTGTTTCCTACACAGTAAATCGGGGCTTGCCGGTTCCTCTCCTCGGATTCTCACGTCATTTGAGCACGTTGGTCTCCATCCTTCCCAGGATGCAACGAGTGCCCGGGTCACACTTGCTGGCTGAACCCAGTTCTGAAGTCTTCCAGTTCGAGCGAGATCTAATTTGAGCTAGAAGAGGCAGGCATTACCAAGAAGACAGTGGGATCTGGGGCAGAGGTTTTGGACATGAAGTTTGACCACAGAGGGATCTAGGGTTGGTGTACGCAACAGCCGTGTGGTGTTGGGCAAGTGCGTGCCTTCTTGGAGCTCCAGGTTCCGTGGACAAGTGAGGGATGATGACGGATGGATGGATGATCAGTGGACAAATGAATAAACGATCAATGGATGAATAAATAATCAATGGATGAACAAATAGATGATACATGGATAAATAAATGGGTGATTGGTGGGTGGATGGATACATACATGAATGATGGATGAATAAATGATCAATGAATGGATGGATGATAGACAGGTGGATGGCTGGATGAATGGATGGATGATGGATGATGGATGGATGATGGATGGATGACAGATGATGGATGGATGGATGATGAATGGATGGATGGATGAATGGATGGATGGTGGATGGATGATGGATAGACAGGTGGATGGCTGGATGAATGGATGGGTGGATGGATGATGGATGGTGGATGATGGATGGATGGACACACATGCAGACAGAGCGGTAGGGAGGCAGCCAGCGCTGGACATCCAGGACAGGACAGCAGCTTTGTGGAGCAAGGACAAAACGGCCCTGTTTCTTCCCCCACCCCCCACACCCCTGGGGTGTCCCTTCACCTCCTCCCTTCAGCAGAAAGAGCCCGTGGACTCACTCCTTGAGTCCAGGCTGGCCTTATAATTTGCTTCAGCCGACAGAACACGGCAGGAGTGCCGACGGGCCGGCCCCAAGCCCCCTCTCCAGAGGCCGCACCACACTCTCCCACGACCTCTCCCGTGGGCCCTGCCATCCCAGAAAGAACCGGCCCAGGCCAGCCTCCTGGGCGCGGGGAGCACGCAGCGGAGGGCGGGGCTCTCCCGGCCTGCTGCTGGGTGAGCCTCCCTGGCTCCCCACCTCGTTGGTGTTCCTCCAACACCAGCCCCGTGGCTGCTCACGGGGACGGCTCTCTGGGGCCTCTCAGGGCCCCCTCTGCACCCCCATCTTCTACGGCACCGCATGCGTCACCTACGCTCGCCCCGCATGTTGGGGAGCCCCAAGCACGCGGCTGCGGGAAGCAGAGGGAGTCCGCTGTCTTTGTCCCCCGACACTTCATCGCCCGACTTCGGGGAGGCGTTCTCGGGGGTCGCGGCGCAGCAAATGCGATGAACATCCGCCCGCTCACTGGGCTCCACCGGCTCCCGCCACGTCTCCCGGAAAGACAGGATTACCGGGTATCTGTTATTGATCCGGAAAAGTCCAATTCCGGTGTCCTAAGGCCCCGGGAGAGGGGCCCAGGGCGCCCGCTGACGGCTGCCCCTTTCCCTTGGCCACCAGCTAATAGCAGGCTTGTCCGCCGTCTCCCTGCCGCGGGTCCACCGTCCTTATCAGCGCGCTGCTGTCGGGGGCGGGGACACTGCGTCCTCCGTCAGCGGCTCATCCTGGAGCCCGAAGGTGCAGCCACTGCCGGAGATGGAGATTCCGAGATTGCGAGATAGTGGACCCAGGAGCTGTCTCGGTGTGTCTTAGCGCCCAGACAGAGTGACACAGGGGACTGACCCTTCCAGCCAAGGGCGTGCGCCACCACCATCACGGTGTTCCCTTTGGGGCGTGTGCCCAGGATGGGGCTCAGGGCTGGTCCTCTCTGAGCTGCGACGGGAAGGAAGGGGCAGACTGGGTGGCAAGCAGCCTGGGGAAAGGGCTTGAGGGCCTGGGAGCCCGAGCAGGGGGTCAGTGGAGGGGGGAACGGGGGCCCCGGGCTGTGTGGGGAGGTAGTCGGCCTAGGAGGGTGGGCCGGGGCCAGCCTTGCCCCGAATGGGGTCAGTGGTATGTGCCCAGGAAGGCCCTGATGGAAACACCAGGTCCCGCTTCCCTCTTCAACTGGATACAATAACACTTCCCTCTTCAACTGGATACCATAACACTTCCCTCTTCAACTGGATACCATAACACTTCCCTCTTCAACTGGATACCATAACACTTCCCTCTTCAACTGGATACCATAACACTTCCCTCTTCAACTGGATACAATAAAAACAAACACTCCTGGAGCAGTGCGGACACATTCGCAAGGGGTGCTGTGTCGGGGTCCTGTGTTGGGGTGCTGTGTCGGGGTGCTGTGTCGGGGTGCCAGGGGGCTTTCCCGAAGAGCGGCCAAGCCCGGGGTTCTCAGCGAAGGGTGACTCTGCCCCCCAGAGATGTGCCCCGGGACCGTCTGGAGACACCCCTGAGCCTCACAAGTGGGGGAGGGGGACCCAGACATCCACAGGGCACAGGCCAGTGAGACAGCTGACGCCCCGCAGCAGCCAGGACGGGGCCCGCCACCAGGAGGTGTCCCCCCCACCCGAGCATCAGAGGGGCCTGGAGGTTTGTCCCCGAGGCACAGCGGCCACGGAGGAGGAGGGGCTGTGACCAATCCAATCTGCAGGGCCCAGGGGCGGGGTGTGTCACCGCAGTTCAGGGTGTCCCTGCATTAGGCGACGGCGGAGGGAGAAGAGGCAGAGCCACGGAAAGGGGGCGTCCGGCCACCTGCGAGGACTCGGACAGGCCTGGGGGGCTTCGGGGTGAGCGAGGCGCGTCCGGCAGGGGAGGACGAGAACCACGTGGTCTCCCTCGCAGGTGGGCTGTGAGACAGAGCAGCAAACACACCCCCACACACACTCACACTCACACTCACAGACGCAGACGACAGAACGCCGGTCACCGGAGGGGGGGGGCCGGGAGGTCAGAGGGCGTGGAGGGGCCGTGTAACCCACGGTGACAGGAGGAGGCCCCCCTGCGGGTGGCGAGCGCCGACGCCTCGGTCAGCGGGACGGTGCGTGTGCAGCTTCGGTCCCG